GGGGGGGGGGGGGGGTTGGATTGAAGGAGGATATAAATGCCGTCTGTACAGGCGGATTCATCCCAGGAAAAGGATTGCCTTCACTCCTACAGTATCCTTGTCCTCTCACAAAAGCACTCTTTACACTGTTACTTTTTGTCTAATATGCAAACCAGCTAGCAGTGGGACTGGCCCGTTGTTGTGATGCACAGCACTGAATGGTTTGACTGCTTTTATTAACGGTGACAACACTCATTATTCCAAATGATTTAGGAGCTTCTATTTGTCTTCTGTCTCTTCTGACAATGATCAGGTGGCCTTTTCCTCGCGGAGCAGCAGATAACCTCTGAGAGGTTGCAAAAGTAGCTCAGTGTGCAGCACATCTTTGATGAGTTCCTTCCCAAACTAAGCAAAGAAGAGAAAAATGTTTCTCCAATTGTAAAAAACATTTTCTCGTGTTGAAAGAATTAAAATATAGAAATAACAAGAGGAAGAAGCACAGGAAATTATACATAATTACAGCAGATTATTTAGCGTTTTGGGAAACCTATATGATTCATGTGATAGGAGGTTTATAATTGCCATTATAATCCAATCAGTGTTGCTTGGCCTTCAACACCAAATCATCATCTCTCAGGGTTTACCCTTGGAGAAAACAAAGTAGTAAACACGTAGCTTACTGTATGGTGCTGAACCAGCGAGGAACAGTGCAGCGCTTGAATAATGTGTGTGCAACTACTAAGCAATAGTGTGCAGGGAGCTCTTTTAATTAGCGCTCTTGAAGTTATCCAGTGACCCACATCTAATAATGAAGGCAACATGAATGTTCTATTTACATATCTTTAGTCAGTAATGTGTGACCGCTGGGAGAGCCCAGTGGATGAGTATGTGGTGCCAGTAAAAAGGGAGGACATGTCAAACAGAGCTGCCTGGGGCTGCTTTCCAAGGCCCCCTCAGTTTGAACTGTAGCAATGTGGAATGGTATATTAGTGACCTGCAGGTCTCTCAAACCGGGTAATGTAATAAGAATACTGCATGCCACTTTTTAATAAGGCTTGGTCTGGTAATGTCATGTATTCCAAGAATCCACTTCCAAGAAGGTTTTTCAGTACGCCATCATAACTTAACCACCTGCTTCCTATTGGGTTCGTAAATGTATGTCAACACAGTGAAAAAGAAAACCAAACTAACTTAAAGGTGCCCTGTGGAGTTTTTTGTAAACACACAAATATTGTATTTATATTAAGTGTTTCCCGCCATACATCCTATAAATCCAACAAATGAGCGCATTTTCATAAAACATTTGCAAAAAATAAAAAAACATTTTAAATACTGCATTGTTACATCCATGTTCCATGCTCAATATGTTGGCGAATCACTGCCACCAACTGTTGATCAGTGGAATAGTATGAATCCAACTGCAGGATGTGAATCACACCGGCAGCGGAAAAAACACAACGTGACTCGCTTGTAAAAACATTGCTCTGTAGCGGTAGTAGTGGTAAAAAAAAAACTCCACAGGGTTTTTTTTTTTTTAAATCAATCAATCAGTCAAGATTAGGTAACAACCTGATTTTACTAAACCAAATTTATTATAGTATTTTTCTTATCTCATTCTTAGTTTTCCCTGCAATGCTGTTTTTATGGTTAAACAGACATGTAAAAACAATTTCCTAACTATAGTCAAATTGACTGTGTAATGGATTATATTCCCACAGCCAATAAAATATATTTATCCAAGGAACATACAGCTATAATTCACACTTCATTCATTCGCTCAACATGCAACACTCATTCCCATGAGAGACATAAAATGAATATTATGTTCCACGTGCATGAAGGTGTTATATTTCCATTGCAATGTGAACAACTCAATAGACAGGACAGAGGGGAATATAATAAGCATAGAGGTGACTTTGACTCTGGTACAGCTGTCCTTGTTTCTGTCTGTCTGCTTAAGAGTCACCTTTACACATCCTCAGTTAGATAGCTTCTCAAAATCAACAAAACATTTAGGGGGATGAGCTACTGGGCTTGAGGCTCTAATATGATTTTAGCAACTGCTATCCATCTTTCAGTGGTGGCCTTGGCTTGAAGGAGTCAGCTTCTTTCTGCTTTCAGCTTTTTAGGCCCCATATTCCCTAACATTCCACCTTCAAAGACCATGCTTCGGTTAAGAAGGGTTAATAAAACCGTTTTTCACATGGCGCTCCCTATTCTGAGGGCGTGTCAAATTGTTCTTTCCGACAATTCTTTGTCTATGAAAGAACTGGGTCACTGACTAACACTCTCTTCCAAGGCCTTGTTGCTAAGGCCTGACTCCTTGGAGTCCAGGATTTAGGGAGACAGGGGCTAGTGCACACAAACTAAAGCCAGCTTCTGACAGGAGGAGCTGCACTTGCGTGACTGCAGCCCCCTCTAAACAGCACATCATGCTCAGATTACTGAACACATTTCAGAGAGGAGGTGGGGAGTTGAGGGATGAAGCCAACAAGAACTGTACACACTGCACGTCTCTGCATGTGGATGTAGATTAGTAATAGAAATGAGCTTCTTTCTGTGCGTGGTGTGTGTGTGTCCCTTTGCATGTGTGTGCATGTGTAGACCTGTGAGTGTGTGTTAAGGGGTTGCTGTTGGCTTTAGCACCTGCAAATAAATCCAGAAATTGAGCTCCACTGTTTGTTAAACATTATTTGCCTCTGCTGTAAAAGGCAACAAAGGGATCCTACCCCACTGCAAATGAATGAGCCCAGGTCCCTAGTTATCACCGGTTATTGTTCAAATCAGGCTGGCTTTGAAAGGGGAGGCGCGCTCTCCTTTGGACAGCTCATTAAGATAACACACAAACGTGGCTCCCCATCATCCTGGGTTTATTAAAGTGGGGCTCATTTCAGCTCCTTTGTCTCATGCAGGAACCTCTGCCTTTGTCAGCGCAATTGGAGCCAGATGGCAAAACAAAGCTGCCTGTCTGGAGTGCTTAGAGAGTGATCTCAGAAGGCAGAGCCATTAGCTCGACTTCACCAGCTCACCGCCCATAACGTCCACCTGGATCAACCAGGTGCATGGACGATGACGAGAGGCGGCGAGAGCAAGGGTGGCTGCAAGTTGCTGTCTTGTCGCTGGAGTACAGGCATGCTACAGTCTTCGAGCTCTGTTCTCCTTTGCCCTGCCCCTTTAGCTAAAGCTGAACTATTAAGTCTCACTAGTAGCGGGATGGCTGACCCCGCTCCAGGCTGCGCAGATCTTTCTGAAACATTCATGAGAGAGGCATTAGAGAATAAAAGTCATTGTCCCCCTTCACTCAGAGACTCTCCTTCACCTCTCAGCTTATTAAAATCACATGGTATTAACTTTGCCGTTCACAGAAAGGCTAAATAATTCAATCAGACTAAAGAAGGAGTCAAAAGAATAACTCTAATGACATTAACGCTTGAGGGAGAACTGCTCAGGACTGTGAGGGGTAGTCGCTGAGGCTGGGCAGGCAGAGGAAGCTCGCTCTGCTTGCTAATGGCGAAATTAATTCTGGACTCATAAGGTCATACTAAGCAAAATATCACATCACTCTTATCACAGAAAAAGAAGCACACGTTTAAGTATTTTGTCCTGGTTCTGGCACCACTCTACCTTACGCAGCCTCACAGAGCCGCAAGCGTGGCTGTAGACTCTTAGTCTTGTTCATAATTATTTCCTTGTTTAAATGCTCGGCTTTGAACAGTTGTGAAATGTCTCTTTACCGAGGGGCAACATGTCTAAATATGGAATATAGCTCCTTCTGGGCATTGCCTTTGTTGAGTGATTTAAACTAGTTAGATCTGAAAGAATAGTCTTTCCAAACTCTGTGGAGCATTAAGTGGTGCAAGCACTGTCACAAGGGGTGTCTGTCCATTTTGCTGGCTTATTCATCATAAAAATTCAAAGCAAGTTATTCCAAGTGACAACAATATTCATAACACATTTCAGCCAGGAGTCAGTGCAAAATCAATTCGGCTTGGTAAACAGGATCATTTGAGTGCAGGACACGGCAGCGCTATTGTTGGCATTTTGTGTGTGTTGGAACTTGTGGAACTTGTTACCATTAAATTTATAGACAAGATAGATTTCACTGTTATAGCTGTAGCTTTGGGGGAACGTATAATGTAAAACAGCTTGTTGGCATCACTAAATTAGTGCGCCCGTCTCCCTCTTTCTGCCTCAAACACACACACACGCACGCACGCACGCAAGGCACACACGAACACACACGCACACACACATACACAGTGGAAGAGTTATGCCACTGGGTTGCTGTGTTGAATAGATTTGGTGCCTGAAGCTGGTCTCACTTCTCACGTGCACTCGTGCTTCATCAGCGTTCGCTCACACTTCAGTAAACAAACTTAACATTCAGCTACTTGTTCTGTTGGGTCTCTACCATCCTGCCACCTAGGCGTGGGTGGTTATTGTTTTATTTGATATTTTTGTAACTTCTATGCTTTGCACACAGTTAATATGATCACATGTGTGTTACAATCTAATCATAGATTAAGTTTTAAGTTCGATTTTATATCTGTAAAGAATTAATTGCCCTGTTTACAGGCTCAGTCTGGTTGGCCTGCCCACTTGATACAGCACTAATTCTTGTTTCAGTGGACAAAATGCAGTGTTGTCTGTTCCTGACAGTGTTTACAGCCTTGCATGATTACACAGCTCAGAGTGCTGAATGCAAAAGATTAAACATATTTAAATATATCAATGTTAGTTTTAGCGAAAGGATGCAAAACTTTAATAAGTGGATTTTCGACTGCTGCTGTTTTCTGACTGATGCTAGCTAAAACATACTGCAGGTCCCTGATGCACACAGAGGCTGAGGCTTGACCAGGTGTGGATTGGCTGACCTGTCTTTGACTCCTCTTCTTCCAGCTCCTTGGCCTCTTCAGCTGTGGGAAGACAGAGGAGTCATTATCAGTGGGAGCCACAGTACAAAGGCAAGGCACACAATGTAGTCACTTCATCACAAGCCTATGGTGAGCTGATCCTTCACAGCTCAAAGGACAAGCTGCGATGAGAGAGCTATATGACAACCAAGCTCCACACAATGGTACCCCGACCATATCACACACACACACACACACACATGCAGAGCCATACCCACCCCTTAACCTCTTATCCAGCCCTTTCACAAAGACAGTAATCACATTAGGCTTTAGCTGCTGGCTCTCTGCAAACCCACTGTCAACAGAGTTAGAGAGGCAACTCAGTGATGGCTGTCACACGTATATGCACACGTGGTCTGCATGTGCGCACACACATACAGGCTAAAAATAGGAGACAGAGTATCCAAGCGGCTGATATTAATTCTATGACACCACTTTCACCACAATTGGGCTCGAGATCCACTATTTAGTGGATGATACATGATTAGACTGATAATTGTACAAAATTAAACGTCAAGCCAACACAATTGCTTTGTTTATATTACTGTACGTTTGCCTGATTTTCCATGAATTTGACAGCAGAGACTATAATCCTCTGGGGAAATTAAGCAAAAATCCTTATCATTACAGTAGCAGAACATGCAGTTTCTAGATTCAAACAGCCTGTATATGCATTCGTCTACCCACGCCTCATTCTTTAGTTTCTCTTCCTCTGTGCTATGTTGTGTTTTGAAATCAGATTTCCACATATTACTGTTGTATTCACAGTATATGTGCACAGATTATTGTGACACATTATCATTAGTCAGTTCAAAACATGTCTTTGGTCATACAGCTTTAGAGTTTGGGGGATTTTTTGCCTCTGCTGTACCCAGATGATATATTGTTGGCAACTTAGAACTTCGAGAATGCCATTTTTGAGTTAACCGATTAATAATGTTAAGAGCAAAATCACCTTTAAAAAAGCACCATATACCACTTCACATCTCCAGAATTGTGGTGTAACATCCCCAGATGTGTGAGTTTACCTCCACTGCTTCATTCAACACCTCCAAATCGACCAACAGTCCCACCACTGTGGAGCAGTGGAAATACCTTGGAGGGCAGGGCTTTGATAGGAGAGTGAGGCTCATTTAAAGGCACCTTAAAGTCAGGGTGAAGACGAGGGCATCCACAGGGCAGGGAGTGAGAACTGCTTTCCTTGTACATTGAGAATGTTACAATTTTATGCCCCTATTGGCTGCATCCTAAATGTGTGGGGAGGTAAGAAGGGAGGTTATGGCTTAAGCGCAAAAGCTGGACAAACCACATAAAAGACGAGAGAGTCAGGGGACAGAAACGGCTACTCACTGAAGCCAGAAGAGTGTTACTGTTCCTCATCATCCTCCCTTCTCCCCCTCTATGCTTCCCCTACACAGAAGTGGTGCAGCACTGCTGCTATATCTCCTCCAACCCTGCTGTGACTTCACGAGTGTTTCAAATTTAAGCAAAAGCAAATGGCCCCAGTTAGTAAACCTATAGTACTATAAATACAATTATTAGTGAGCCTAATTAATTCATCCTTGCACCCTAGAAACAGCAGGGCCGTCTTCTTTTTAAATCCTTTGTGCATACTAGGAGGCTATATAAGGCTTAATGACAGCAGTGTTTGTGCTGCGTAGGTTTTAATTTATTTTCTCTCCCTTTCAATATGAGCTCTTGATGACAAAAATGAAAAAAGTTTGCTTAAAGAAAACAGCTCTTTGCCAATATTTTGATCAGGGATTTTATCTTTTTTTTTATGAGCTTTTTCTACATAGACTGGGAGTGAAACAAATCTACGTGTCTGTTACTTCAAATGAGTCAAATGCACACAGCAAATGTGATCACAGCATTTGGCTCGCAGTAAAACTGAGGGTTAACCCCTGTGAAACATGTACATCCCCTTGGTAAAAAACCCCTGGGGGAAAACACTGCTTTCCTTATGACTTTCATCCATTACACAGGGGAGATCCGTCCCATGTCACCTACACATGATCTCCAAGCGTAGCTCTGATTAAATCACATGCTTATCTAAATGCAAAATGAGCTTGGGAGAAATGGAACAGCAGCCCTGGATAGGTCACTAAAAGCATATATTAGATCCACAGTCACAGTCATTATGTAAGGAAGGACAGTCACAGAAGAGAGGGATGAAAGAAAAAAATATATATCAGAGAGACCAGAGCCATGCTGGTGTTAAGACACAACACTGCCCCTGGAATTGAGCTTTCACTTCCAACTCCAATACCACAAGATGCTCTGCTCTGTTATGATACACATTCGGGTTCTCCACATACATTATGACAGGGAAGAAAAATGACTTACTCACTTCTCCACTTTTACTGACCCCTCCACCCTCGCTACCCAGACACAGTGAAGAGAGAGTCAACTTCAATCTGGCCATACCCCGGAACGCCATTAAAAGATAAGACAACCACAATTAGGTTGCACTTCCCTGCTTCCTGCCCTCCCCACAGCTCTGGATATGTGCATGGCAATCCTATTTTAAGCCCCTTCACATCTGTATTCATATAGTATCATTCTATCAGGAGTATAAGAGTCTGCATGATATGTGAATAAGTCAGCGTTCCCACTTTTCAGGTTCGTGCTTGGAAAACACCAAAGACTGCACGAGCATTGCTTGCAGGAGACAGAATAAGACTTAACATTTCAATGAGGCGGACAGTGGATGACCACATAATCAATCCCGCCTTCGGTGTTAGGGCTGCAGGCGGGAGACGCGGCTCCTCATCCACTCCACTGAAGAAAAGGCCCCCACAACCCTAGGAGCCTTTTGCCCGTGGGAGGAACTGCATTATATTTCTCTCTTTCCATTTCATTTGATTTCATATGTTCCATGGAGCTATTTACTCTTTCCTCTGAGTCTGTGTCACTTCCATATTTATTTTCAAACCTCTGGGCCCTGGTGCAGACACTGGCTGACCTTTATTTAAATGTCTCCTCCACTCTGAGCGGATCTCATTACAGCAGAGCTGGTGGCTCTGCACTATCTATCTCATTTCAAAACTTTTTCTCTTTGCACTTGCGGCGATCCTCAGCTATTCCGCAACGCTAATTACTGGACCCGAGTAATGATGTTCCTCTTTGCCGAAGATATGTGTCCCACCATCCGAGATCCTGCCTATACGCATTAAGCAGAACTCCCTCTGGATTCTCAAAGTTCCTTGAGCAGTTAACATCTCATCACTGCTTTCTGCTCTATCTTTCTCGGTCTCGTTGTGCCTCCCACATGATCTAGGCAACACGTCGCAATTATGCATATCATCTACTGGCCTGCTATGTGAAGAGTTTAAGGAGTCATTCTGCATTTTAATTAAGGCCCTGAGAAGGGTTGAAAGGGCTTGAGAGCATGATAGGTTAGCATCCATTATTCAGCAAGCCCTTGAACTGTGTACGCAGTAGGCCAACACAGTCTAAGAAAAAATAGAAAACCACTTTATCTTTTTGTGCATGTATATCCAAAGTTGTCACAGCTATGAGATTAACTTTTCATATTGCCCCTAATGAAGGCAAGACAGCCCCAAAACATGCTTTTATCTAACCTTGAGGATTAACATTAACAATGATTTTCAAGAGAGTCATCACCAATGAATTGTACTCCCTGTGAGAATATGCACTGGTGTTGAATGTGATCACCCCCCTCCCCACACTCCATTCCATACCTTCTCTCCTGGCTTCCTCGCAGCTCTCCTTGATCTTCCTGCGGCACACAGCAGCCAAGGCAATGAGCAGAACCAGCAGACACACGGCCAGGCCAACAGTTACCCACAGAGCCACCGGGGGGAACGCAATGTTCTGACCTGAAGCAAAGGGCAGAGGGAGGGAAGGAGGGGGGCAGAGAAGGGAGAGCCTCATTATTCACTCTTGCAGAGCTAAAATAAGAGCACAACTGTCACCACTGTATCCATCACCATTATTTCACCATTTGACAATTTTGCTGTTCGAGTTTTTTGTCATAAAAATCCTGAATTATCCAGCCTGCAGAACTACTAAAGTGCAATATGATGACACTGACAATGATTATTGCCATCATCATTGTCAGCATTGTCATATCATCTCTGTAGAAGGTTTGACTGTCAGAAACTGTGGGACTGTCAGAGGAAATGGCAACGAGCATGAACCTTTGCTTCATTTGAACGGAGTAAGAGCTTCTTTACTAGTGTCCAATTAAGACACTTGAGTCTTTCAATTGAGTCCAGATGGCAGATAACTTACCAGTCGCACAAGACTGTGTTGTCGTTTCACTCAAACAGCATTGGCACAGCTTTAAGAGGATGTTGGCACTAACTATCCCACCCCCTGCCTTCTGCTACACATTGCTCAGATGTCTGAAGTTCTGATGCGTTCGCTTTATTATTCTATAACCTCTTAATGTCTACAATATCATTCTCTCTCTGAAAGCTAATTAAATGTCAATATGTAGTGTAATATTCTAAATAGGAACAAGGTAAAAAAGTATGGTACACATTTCTACCAAATTTATGTTTCAATTTATTTTACTTTTTATTGTTTGATGAGTGCAATGATAGTAATAAATATCTTTCGGACAGCACCACAGTAAAATCACTTAGGAGAAAATTAGGCATCAAAATGACAGTGACAGTATCTTGGCAAACTGCAAACTGATGAAGAGAAATAAAAACTGGTCAGCAGGACAAAAAAGATATCAGAGACACAGCCAAATTTCCCTGGGGTATTCAACTGAACAGAGGGAGAAGAAAAGAAAACAGCAGAGCCACTAAATAGCTGTGAGCCTGGCTGTAGCACAAACAGGCCTCCTTCAGAGAGTGCCCGCTCTGGGCAGATAATAATAATACAAAAAAAAAAGAAAGAAAAAAGACTGAAAAATGACTGGCATTGGAAAGAGGAAATGATGAAGCATCTGTAAGGACTTGGCATCAGCTATGAAGACAGGCAGACAGGCTATGATACAGCCAAGCCAAGATGGAGGGCAAATAGAGGCATCCTTTTGGAGGTGATGAATTCTCAAATGGAAAGCCAGTCCATCTAATGCTGAAAAACAGATGTACCCGATTGTCCCACGAAACAGAGTTAATGAAAGGCCACAGAGGACCATAGAGGGGAGGAGGGGGTGGGACATGTACTCACCAATGAGAGAAAAGGATCATTAAAAAACAACAGTTCAGCCTTTATTCTGCAGTTGTTTTTAGACATGCTTGCTTGGCATGTTTGTAGGGTTGTGAATGTCAATCTGTCTGTCTATTCACTACTTTGGTCCATTGCCATGACATTTTGTACAGACTTCCATGGTTCCCAGAGGACGAAGCCTAACAGACTATAGCACATTTCTATAGCGCATGAGGTTCATAATTGTCATTTTGAGCAAAATGTCCATGCAACTTTTGGATATATTGCTAAATATGTGGAACAGACATTCATGAATCACAGTAACTTTGGTGATTCCTTGACTTTACATCTAGCACCACCATCAGATTATCATCAGATAATGTTTCTAACACTGTGGTTTATGATCAAACACCATTCCCATCAGGACTTGTATTTAGTGCTAATTAGCAAA